ACTCACCCCTCTTCCAAGAGTCACAGAACAGAATCATGGGGTTGGAAGGAACTCACCCTGCACAGACACCCCAACAATCCCACCCTGTGCATCCCTGAGAGCATTGTCCCAACACTCCTGGAGCTCTGGCAGCTTTGGGAATGTCACCATTCCAGTGCCCAAACACCCTCCAGGGAAGAATCTTTCCCTGCTATCCAGCCCAACCCTCTCCTGGCACAGTTTCACACCATTCCTGACAGCCCCATCCACCCTGGATCCTTTCCCTGCTCTTACACTTTCAGCCTCTCCTGGCTGATCCAAAGCCACTCCATCCATCCATCCATCCCACATTTCCCACCCCATTAAAACCCCCTCAGTCGTTTCCCTGCCTCTGCTCTGAACAATCTCCATTTAAAAATTAAGCCCAGCCTGGTGAAAAGACCAAAGCATCACTGCAATAGAACTCCATTAAATAAGATTATATTTGATCCCACAAAAAAGCCCACGCTGAAACCATTAACAGTGGAAATATTTGTATCAGGATCTGTGTGACAGATGGGATGATTAAATTCCCATGGAAAGCCAGTCTTGGAGCTTTCATCTGCTGATAGCTCTGGGGGGATGGAATATTGGGCAGGAATGCTGAATATTTCACTGAAGAGCCATCAAAAGCACCAACAATTTACTGCAGGTGAGCAAACTGGGCAGCTCTGGGCTATGGAAAAGCAGGGCCAGAGCTGAGCCAGCAGCATTCCCACCCTGGGAGCTCTGTGGTTTCATTAGGACATGGAAAAAGCAGGGACAATGGCAGCACAGGAATGTCTGATCCTGCTCCTTCCCAAGGTGCAGAGGCATCACAAAACTCAGCTCAGTGTTTGGCTTGGCTGAAGGGTTATCCAGAGGCAGCAGATGCTCCCAGGGGGGATCTTCTCTGCCTGGGAACTGCTGGAAAAGAGGATGCAGGAATCAGGGTGGGAATGGGGGGAGGAGGGAAGCAGGAGGAGGCAACTCCACACTCCATGTTCAGCTCAGGGGTCCTCAGCACAGGATCTGCTGGAGTGAGTCCAGCCTGGAGCAGAGAAGGATCCAGGGAGAGCTCAGAGCCCCTTGCAGAGCCTAAAGGGGCTCCAGGAGAGCTGGAGAGGGACTGGGGACAAGGGATGGAGGGACAGGACACAGGGAATGGCTTCCCACTGCCAGAGGGCAGGGATGGATGGGATATTGGGAAGGAATTGTTCCCTGGGAGGGTGGGGAGGCCCTGGGATGGAATTCCCAGAGAAGCTGTGGCTGCCCCTGGATCCCTGGAAGTGTCCAAGGCCAGGTTGGATGGGGCTTGGAGCAGCCTGGGACAGTGGGAGGTGTCCCTGCCCGTGGCAGGGGTGGAATGAGATGATATTTGAGGTCTCTTCCTACCCAAACCATTCTGGAATCCTCCAAGTCACCAACATGAACCTCCTGTGTGCAGTGGAGCTGTCACTCCACCTTTCCTCTGCCGCGTTCCCTCTCAAACACCAACCTTGCTCCTTGGGAATTGTCTCCCTTCAGCTCCCACCCCCTGCCCTGGGTGGGTCTCACCCCCCAGAAGAGCCCAGAGGTGCCATAACCAACCCTCTGTCTGTCCTTGTTCACACACTGAGCTCTCAATCTCTCCCCCAGCACATCTTCTCCTGCCCTTCCATCATTTTCATGACCCATTTTGCCACAGCTTTGTTCCTTAAGGGTCTTGAGCCAAGAGCTTTGTCAAAACCCAAGGAAAGATGTTCCCTCAGCAAAGCTGAGAGGCTCTGGCAGGATGAGGAGTCAGCAGTTCTCCTTCCCAAGGAGATTCAAACACAAAATCAGCCAAAGAACAGCAAGGGACCCCAGCCCATCACCAAAACTCCACAACAAAAGATCCAAACACCAAGCAGAGCATCAGTGGTGAGACCTGCACCAAAATCCAACTCAAAACCACGCCAGACTGTGCCCTGCTCACCTTATTTTGGTTATTTTTGACTTGTGTTTGTGAATAATTCTCTTTCAAACACTTTGCCATTAGCTAAATGGCCCAGTGTTCAAAACCATGAAACTCCTGAGCAGTTTGCAAGGTTGGGAGACACCTAAAATGTCTCCAAGCACCCAACAGGCCACATATTTCTCCTTTTAGAAAATCACTTCCAGGTGATTCAGTCCCCCAACATGGGATTGGTTTGACTCAAAGAGTAAAAAACCCCACAACTCCCTGACATCCATGGCAGCCAGACACATGGATCTTAAAAAACCTGAGAAAAAAACTAAACCAGAGCATAAATCCAGAGTCTGCCCAGCAATAATATCCTTTTACCAACACTTTAAAATACATTTTTATACATAAACACAAAAAAACACAGCAAAATCAATACCTTCCAGCAATCTCCTTGCTAGTGAGGCTTCACATTTAAGCTTTAAATTAAGTGTCACATATAATTTGATGGTGGAAACATGAGGAATGCCCGTGCCCTTGGAGAAGTTTTGACAGCTCAACTTAGAATTGGATTGATTCCTGGGCAAAGAGCAAACTCTGCAAGAAACTGTGAACCTCATTGCTCATGTCAGGTCTCTGTGAGGGGGGAAAAAAAAGCCTGGAGGATGCCCTTAGGAGAGCTGGGTAATTTGGGGAGACAGTGAATGAGCTCTCAGGATCTGTTTCCATCTTTGCCAAAGATTGGGAAATTCTGCCCCAATGGGCTGGGGGAAAAGGGCAGGGTGGGGTGGGGACACCCATGGGCTCCCTTTGCCTCACTGAAAAACAGGCAGGACTCAGATCCTCTTGGCTCCAGAGGTGCCACCACTGTCCCCACCCATCAAGGAGTGTCACATGTGGGAGGTGATGATCTTCATCCCACCTTCATTTCAAATCCCCTTTCCCAGCTGAGCAGGTCACTTCCCATCCTCCTTTTTTTTTTTTTTTCTGCAGAAGCACACAGGAAGCCAAAGCTTCTCCCATGTGCACATGGGGGAAAGAAATCAATTAAAAATCAGCCAATCTAGGCTTAATAGAGGTCAGGGAGGGCTCTGTTGGAGGACTTTGGGAGATTACAAACTCTAGGAAAAGGGAACAACGAGTTCCAAGGATCCTTGAAGCCACCCTGTCACGTACATTTAATTTCAACTCCTGGTTTGGCCAAATCCAGGCATGTTTTGATTAAGAAAGTTGCCCAGATCAGCATTTGAGACCCACAGACTGAGATCCACCAGGGTCTCTTCCCTCTACACATCAGGCACAAGTGCTGGGATTATTTACAAGACTCCCTGGAAGGAGGGAAGGGTGTGCAGATCCAGAAACAGAATAAATCACATATTTTATTACCACAGCCAACTCCATTGCTGCTCCCTCTAGCTGAGGTGTGAGATCAGACTGGCACTTGCTGCTCTGCAAATGCAAGCAGAGAAGGGCACAAAGAACACAAAACTCTGCCTGGTCCCACCAAACACAATCCTCCTGGAAGTTGGGTCATTTTTTGGAAGTGAAGCTGTCAGACTGAGCCTGCACTGAGCCAAGAACAAATGTCAGACAGGGACAAAGCACACAGCCTCAGGCTGGGTAAAGAGGAGGAATTTCCTCATGGAAAGGGTGCTCAGGCTTTGGAAGGAGCTGCCCAGGGAGGTTTGGAGTCTCCATCCCTGGAGGTGTCCAAGGCATTCCTGGATGTGGCACTCAGAGCTCTGGGCTGGTGACAAGGTGGGGATGGGGGCACAGATCAGACTCGATGGCCCTGCAGGAATTTTCCAACCTGAATAATTCTGGGATTCTCTCAACATCGTGGCTACAGCAGGAATTGTGGCACTGGGCAAGGCTCCATATGGGAACTACACAGCCGAGGCTCCCTTTGCTGACTTGGATCCTGATGTCTCTGAGCTCTGCCTCATTTCATGGAAGGAGAGAAAAGGCTGATCCTGGCTCCAGGACAAGCAGCCAAGCTCTCTGCCAGGACAGGTGCCAAGGAGAAGCCAAAGGAGCTGCTGTCATCACCAGAGATGCCACCCAAAACCTCTGCAGCCCATCCCCAGTGAAATGACATTGGAGAAAATCCCCTGAGTCTGACCACAGCCACGTTTTAAACCCGATTTTCTCAGTGTTTTACCTGTTCTGGCCAAGCTGAGCTGCTCCACAAAAGCTGGCAGGATCACCGTGGCTCTCAGCCCAGACCTGAAATCTGCTTGGCTGCCCCTACCAAGGACAACCATGGTGGTGCTTTTTGAAGATTTCCAAGTGCAGCCTCACACCCAGCCCTGCCCACGCAGAACCTTTTCCCTCCTGCCAACCTCAACTCCCACCATGAGAAAAACCCTCAGAGGACAGAAATTCATCCAGCTCCTCCTGGCCAGCATCCTGCTTTCCAAAGCCAAAAGCACAGATCCAGACCTTCGGCTCAGCCAGGAGTTCTTCGTTTCATGAGAAATCAAATAATCACTCGATACAACACGAGGCTCCTCCCAGCTCATTGC